CGGTAGCCAGTGTACTTGCTGTAATATCAGGGTCATGTGCTCCCAACAGCTGGCCCCTGACCAGCTGTCTGGCCGGAGCGTTCTGCACTAGCTGCAGCCTCCCAACAATCTTCAAGGGTAGCCCCAAGTAGAGCACATTGCAGTAGTCCAGTCTAGATCACTAAGGCGTGGATCACTGTGGCTAGACCTGACTGACCCAGGAATGGATACAGCTGACGCACCAGCCAAAGCTGGGCAAAAGATAGTACTGCTCAACCTTGCAGGGCTGTCATAAGCGTACCAAGTTAGGGCATGTAAAGCATACTGAACATTGGAAGTGTCGTGTCAATGCTCTCAGTATTGCAGTGTATCACAACCTCCTTAAGTTGTTCTGTAAACTTCAGTATCTCACTCACTTCCCTATTGAGCCAGCAGATTTGCATCTGCATCTTTCCCCAGCAGGGCAAACCGTGGTTCCCTGGGGCAACTTTAGATCGAGAAACCAGCACAGACGATGAGGAAACCTTAAACACTCCTGGACATCAGACCACAGGCCTGATCTGAATCAGGGCCCCATGCACCTGATTTTCAGAACGAAATGCCGGGAACTCCCATTCCGAGAACTCTCAGTGCCTCGCCTGGTTTGGCCTGGAGGGACCAACATTCTTCCTGAGAGCCAGATTGGTGTTGTGGTTAAGAGCGTGGAGTCTAATCTGGGAGAACCCGGTTTGATTCCCCACGCCTCCTCATGCAGCTGCTGGTGTGACCTTGGGTCAGTCACAAGTTCTCTCGGAGCTGTTCTCTCAAGAGCAGTCCTCAAAAGAGCTCTCTCAGCCCCATCTACCTCACAGAGTGTCTGTTGTGTGGGGAAGGGAAGGGAAAGGAGATTGTAAACCTCTCTGAGACTCCTTCGGGTAGTGAAGGGCGGGGTATAAATCCAATCTTCTCCTCCCCTTCCTCTTCTTCTTCTTCCAAGGACAAAGGCGACTTCCATCCCTGACTCCCTGAGCTATAAAGGAGGACTTGCTAATTCCAACCATCTCATCACCAAGGCTGGTCCAAATGCTGCCTTTCTATCTAGGCCGCTCTCCTGGGAACGACAGCCCGGAAATAGGCCAGTTGTCTCCTGTGGGGGCCTGGAAGGAACTCAGCTAATGAGGAGAGCAGGCTGAAGAAACCAAAGAGCCGTCCAGCTGGATCGGACCAGCAATCCATCCACTCCCGCATCCTGCTTCACACAGCAGGCCGACCAGCTGCCCTAGTTCACCCCCAACCGACTCACACAGGAGGGGCTGCGGCCCAGTGGAAGAGCCTCTGCTTGAACATGCGGAAGGTCCCAGGTTCAATCCCCGGCATCTCTGATCAAAAAGATCGTTTAGTAGGTGACGTGAAAGCTGCAAACGGGGGCTATTCGGATGAGTCATAAAAATATAAGAAGAGCCCTGCTGGATCAGACAAATAGTCCATCCAGTCCAGACTCCCACCTCACACAGAGGCCAGCCAGTTCCTCTGGAGGGACGACAACAGGGCAGAGAGGCCGAGGCCTTCCCCTGAGAAGAACCTCAGAAGAGCCCTGCTGGGCCAGATCAGTGAGGGTCCATCCAGTCCAGCATCCTGTCTTCTCACACAGCGGCCAGCCAGTTCCTCTGGAGGGCCAACAACAGGGCACAGAGGCCACTGCCTTCCTAAAGACATCAGAAGAGCCCTGCTGGGTCAGACCAGTGAGGGTCCACCTAGTCCAGCATCCCGTCTCACACAGGGGCCAACCAGTTCCTCTGGAGGGCCAACAACAGGGCAAAGAGGCCGAGGCCTTCCCCTGATAAGAACCTCAGAAGAGCCCTGCTGGGTCAGACCAGTGAGGGTCCACCTAGTCCAGCATCCCGTCTCACACAGGGGCCAACCAGTTCCTCTGGAGGGCCAACAACAGGGCAGAGAGGCTGAGGCCTTCCCCTGAGAAGAACATAATAAGAGCCCTGCTGGATCAGACCAGTGAGGGTCCATCTAGTCCCGCATCCTGTCTCCCATAGTGGTCAATCGGTTCTTCTGGAGGACCAACAACAGGGCACGGAGGCCGAGGCCTTCCCCTGATGTTTTCTCCTGGCTCTGGGATTCAGAGGATTAATGCCTCTGAATGCGAAGGTTCCCCTCAGTCATCACCCTGGCTGGTAGCCCACTGATAACTCTCTCCTCCATGAATCTACCTAATCCCCTTTTAAAGCTGTTTATTCTTCTGGCCATCGATACACCCTCCGGCAGCGGATTCCACATTCTAATCCGCGAGGAGAACTGGATGCATCCAGCATGGGAAGAATCTTCGCCTTCATCTGTTCCGCACGCGTGTTTCCAGTTCTCCTGACTGCAGGGAGCAACCAGCAACCATGCCGGGCAAAGTCAAAGAAGGCAGAGCTGCTAAGCCCCCCAGCAGCCAATTAGCAGAAGTTCAAGCAACATAAGCAAACCTCATAAGAACCTAAGAGAGAAGCCAGTGTTGGATCAGGCCAAAGGCCCATCCAGTCCAACACTCTGTGTCACACAGTGGCCAGAAATACCAGGGGCCACCAGGAGGTCCAGCAGTGGGGCCAGGACTCCAGAAGCCCTCCCACTGTTGCCCCCCCTCCAAGCACCAAGAAAACAGAGCATCCCTTGCCCCCAGACTGAGAGCTCCTGTCTATAACTTGGGGCTAAGAGCCACTGATGGAGTTCTGCTCCATTGGCAAATAAGCATCATTTACAGCCTGCAACTTTCTCCGGTGCAGAAGCCCAACGTCCTCATCCAGTGGAGGGGATACCTCCGACTCCCGTGCACATGCCAGGCTTTGCAAAAAAACAACAACTGCTGAAGGAGGAAGTGGAGCAGAGACCCGGTTTGCCAAGTGCCAGAGAGTAAGGATTTGTGACTCCCCAGTGGATGGCCGCCAAGACACTCCCTTTCCCAGCACCAAAACTCACAAAACCCCAGGATCTCTCTCACACACAAACACAAATCAATCTCATAGGTGGCAATCTTTGCTCCATTACCTGGGAGTAAGTCCCATTCAACAGAGTCGGAATTACGTCTAGGTAAACAGGGCCAGTTCGGTGTAGCGCTTAAGTGCACGGACTCTAAACTGGGAGAACCGGGTTTGATTCCCCACTCCTCCACATGCAGCCAGCTGGGTGACCTTGGGCCAGTTACAAGTTCTCTCAGAGCTGTTCTTGAAAAGAGCAGTTTCTGTCAGAGCTCTCTCAGCCCCACTGGTTACCTCACAGGGTGTCTGCTGTGGGGAGGGGAAGGGAAAGGAGTTTGTAAGCTGCTCTGAGACTCCGAGTGAAGGGCGGGGTATAAATCCAATCTCTTCTTCTTCTTCTTCTAAACATGCCCTGAGCTGGATGGCCCAGGCTGGCCCGATCTCATCAGATCACGGAAGCTAAGCAGGGTCAGCTCTGGTCAGTAGAACCACAGAATCACAAAATCGTAGAATCACAGAGTTGGAAGGGACCTCCAGGGTCATCTAGTCTGACCCCCCTGCACAATGCAGGAAATTCACAACTACCTCCCCCACACACAAACACACGCCCAGTGACCACTGTTTCATGCGCAGAGGATGGCCAAAAAAATCCTCCAGAATCTTCAGCCAAACTGGCCTGGAGAAAAATTACTTCCTGACCCCAAAGCATTCCCCTGGGCGTGTAAGTCCTTGGATGGGAGACCCCCAAGGAAGTCCAGGGTTGCTACACAGAGGCAGGCAACGGCAGACCTCCTCTTTGAATGTCTCTTGCTTTGGAAAATCCCACGAGGTAGCTGTAAGTCAGCTGCGACTTGATGTGACTTTCCACCACCACCAAACCAAGCTAGCCTGATCTCCTCCGCTCTCAGAAGCTAAGCAAGGTCAGCCCTGGTTTGTACTTGGAGACACCCCCCCAAAAAAAGAAGCCCAGGGTTGCTCTGCAGGGGCAGGCAATGGCAAAGCCACCCCTGTTCATCCCTTGCCTTGAAGACCCTTGTCATGATCTGGGCTGTGCAACTAGAGAGGCCTAGCAGGCCCAAGGAGCCTGACTAGAAGTGGGAGGAGGCCAGGCCTACAACTCCCAGAAGCCCCTGAGAGGTTTTGGCGCCAAATTTAGCCAATCACAGAGAAAGGGGACTTGTAACGAAAGAGCTGGTACAGAAGACAGGCTGTTCTTTTCTTCCAAGAGGGCAGAGCCAGAAGGGAGGCTGCTGCAGGGAAGAGACCCTCACCCTGAGAGGACGGGTGAGCAGACTCAGGCCCACTGGAGACAGTGAGCTGGGGACTGTGAGTCTAGTCGCACTAGGGCATTTGGTTTCTTTTCTTTTCACCCCCTTACTGATACTGTTCTTGCACCTTGTTTGTTTCCCATATCGGGCTGACCTCCTGTAAAAATAAACCTTTCATTTGTTGTTCGCTCTGCCTGGTCCTCACGGCCAGGGCTATTTTTGGGCAGGAACGCACAGGAACGGAGTTCCGGCTGGCTCCCGAGTTGGCCACGCCCAGCAGGAACTCATTAGCATAACAGGCCACACCCAACAGCAGAAACTCATTCGGATTGGCTGCAATTAGGGGTGTGTGGCCTAACATGCAAAGGAGTTCCTGCCCTGGGTTTGGACAACAAACAAGGTAAACAGAATAAGAAGCAAAAGGTGGGTGTGGCTGGATGACCACACTTCTGGTAATGTGGGGGTGTGGTGTAATATGCTAATGAATGGCTCTGCCAGGGGTGTGGCCTAATATGCTAATATGTTTCTGCTGTTGGGTGTGGCCTGTTATGCTAATGAGTTCCTGCTGTGCTTTTTCTACAAAAAAAGCCCTGCTCACGCCTATTATTCGGCCAAACAAGGAAGGTCTGCAGGTCTTGGGAGGGTGCTCTGGGCCTTCTCAAGGGCTCCTGGAACCAGAGTGGTGGCAGCGTCAGGGGACACCCCACCTGAGCCGTGACAACCCCACAGGGTCAACTCGCCATACGTCGGCTGTGACTGGGCGGCGCACGGAATGGTGCCGAGGAGCAAGCGTCGCGGCACTTACCTTCACCAGGAAGTTCCCGTCTTTCTCCTGGGTGACCATGACCACCGAATCGTGGAGCTTCTCATCAAAGTGGACGTGGCTGGAAGGGCCCTCCACCGTCTGGTTTGGGGCAAAGCGGACACCCCCCACCTTGGGCTTCGTGCCTGCGGGAGGAAAAGCAAAGCGGCAGACGGGTTACTATGGGCCACCTGCAGATCTGGGGGACGGTCTCTTAGCAGCCAGGGGAGACAGCAAGGGCAGGTCGATGGTGCAGGGAACTAACAGCTGGCTTGGCCTCGGGAAGAACAACCCGGGAGTCTCGAGAGGGTTGCCACCAGTCTTCAGACGTGGCCTGGGGATCCCCTGGAATCATTACCCATCTCCGGACTACAAAGATCAGTTCCCCTCGAGCAAACCGCTGCTTTGAAGGGAACGCTGGATGCAGTGTTCCCTCAAAGCTGAGTTGGTGTGGGCTAGCTCACAGGTTTTTAGCCTCCGGCGCACGTATTTTTGTCTTTGCTCAGAAGGAGGGCTCCAGAGCAAACTAATTTATGCAGTGGCCAAATTACTCGCTGTCATGATCTGGGCTGTGAAAGCATGGCCTAGCAGGCCTAGGAAGCCTGTGTAGCAGTGGGAGGAGGCTAGGCCTACAACTCCCAGAAGCCCCTGGGAGGTTTTGGAGCCAAAATTGACCAATAGGAAAAAGAGGAGGGCATGGAATAAAAGATCTGGGGCAGCAGGAAAAGCTGTTCTTCTTCCCAGAGGGCAGAGCCAGAAGGAAGGCTGCTGCAGGGGAGAGACCCTCATCCTGAGGGAAGGTCTCTCCTTCCCTCAGATTAGCCAGGGACAGGATATATTTAGACGTGTTGGGGCATTTGATTTCTTTTCTTTTCACCCACTTACTGTTATTATTCTGCACCTTGTTTGTTTGACCTCCTATAAAATAAACTATTTTCCTTGTACTCTGTCTGGTCCTCACGCCTATTATTCGGCCAAAAGGGAGGTCTGAAGGTCTTGGGAGGGTGCTCTGGGCCTTCTCAAGGGATCCTAAATCCAGAGTGGTGGCAGCGTCAGGTGACGTCCCACCTGAGCCGCGACACTAGCTCACAACTTTAATGCCAGTAGCTCACAAAAATAGAATTATTGCTCACAAGACTCCACCACTTGGGGGGGGGCATTGGCTGTATGGCATTATACCACTCTTGAGTCCCCTCCCCGAACCCTGCCACACCCAGGCTCTGTCCCTAAATCTCCAAATGTTTCCAACACTGAGTTGGCAAACCTACAGTCTGAGCTTGGCGGCACCCGAGTCGCCAGCCATTCGCCGAGAGACTCTCCAAAGATGGAGAAAGGCGGGTCGACAAATATTTCCAATGAATAAACTGGCAAGAAGAGGCATTCACATTTATTTATATCCCACTTTCTCCCCTGTTGGGACTCAAAGCAGACTTCAAAACATGGTTCTCCCCTCCTCTGTTTTCTCGCAACATCAGCCCTGTGAGGTAGGCCAGGCTGAGAGCTTGTGATGGGCCCAAGGTCACCCTGTGAGATTCCAGGGTAGAAATGGCCATTCAAACTAACATCCCCCAAAATCCCAGCCCAACACCCTATCCCACTACACCACACAGGGTCTTAGGAGGAGATGGGATTAATTAAGTAATTATCGTATGGCCAGGAGATCCTAAAAATGTCTGGCAGACAGACATTCTAGCTCTTTTAGTGTTTATCGACCACTAGGTGACAAGCTAGAGCCAGTTTGGTGTAGTGGTTAAGTGTGCAGACTCTAATCTAGGAGAACCGGGTTTGATTCCCCACTCCTCACTTGCACCTGGCTGGATGACCTTGGGCAAGCCATAGTTCTGCCAGAGCTGTCCTTGAAAACAGAGCAGTTTCTGTCAGAGCTCTCTGAGCCCCGCCTACCTCACAGGGAGTCTGTTGTGGGGAGGGGAAGGGAAAGGAGTTTGGAAGCCGCTCTGAGACTCCTTTGGGTAGTGAAGGGGGGGGTATAAATCCAATCTCTTCTTCTCCTCCTCCTTTTAAGGCAAGAGACCTTTTTCAGAGGTGGTTTGTCATGGCCTACCTCTGCGTCACAACCCTGGTGTTCCTTGGCAGTTGCCGTTTCAAGATATGATGGAATCGGGCAAGCCGGGGCTCTCCCGGTCAGGAGGAGATTGGGAGTATTCTTGGAGGCCAGTATTCCAAAGGGGAGAGGGACATATTTTAAAAAAGAATTTCCTGGACACAGAACACAAAATGCCAAGTAGAAGAACTGCATGTCGTCGTTAGAACGGATAAAAGGAAGTCCTTCTTCACCCAAAGAGGGATTAACACATGGGATTCACTGCCACAGGAGGTGGTGGTGGCTACAAGCATGGACGGCTTCAAAAGGGAATTGGATAAGCATATGGAGCAAAGGTCCATCAGTGGCTATTAGCCACAAGGTATGGATAGGGGCTCTGGGGCAAGGGATGCTCTGTCTTCTTGGTGCTTCGGGGGGGGCAACAGTGGGAGGGCTTCTAATGTCCTGGCCCCACTGCTTGACCTCCTGATGGCACCTGGTATTTCTGGCCACTGTGTGACACAGAGTGTTGGACTGGATGGGCCTTTGGCCTGATCCAACATGGGCTTCTCTTATGTTCTTATATCTGGGGCAAGGGATGCTCTGTATTCTTGGTGCTTGGAGTGGGGGCAACAGTGGCAGGGCTTCTGGTGTCCTGGCCCCACTGGTGGACCTCCTGATGGCACCTGGTATTCTTGGCCATTGTGTGACACAGAGTGTTGGACTGGATGGGCCTTTGGCCTGATCCAACATTGGCGTCTCTTATGTTCTTGTGTTCATCCCCTCCCACATGTAATTTTCGATGTGGTCCATCCAGCTACCACGTGACGCTCAGCAGCAAAGCAGGTCAGGTTGAAGACAGAGACTGAAATGGGCTTAAATCTCTCAAACGCTTCAGACAATAAGATCACTGCTGACAAAAGGCTATATCATACACCCCGCTTGCCGTAAGATAGCTATTTCCTTGCAACCCCTTCTAATTAGCATTCGGCGGCATACCCGACGCCCCGGAGTCTTTACGGCAGGTCTAGGAATCAATTTTAAAAAGTTAAAATAAGGCTTCCGGGAATAAGAACCGCATGCAAGATGAGCCCTGAAATTTCATTTCGGCCATTGCCCCGAGGCAGCGCAATGCACAGAGGAAAACAACACCTCACGGCAACCAGACGCTGGACCGTGTGGACGAACAACGCTCACAGCTCGCTGCGCTTCCAAGGAACCGAATGCTTTCACCCGCTCCCCGCACGAGATTACAGGATTTTATTTATTTGGCCATTTTTAGATCACTTTTCTCCATAAAAGGGAGTGGGCGCATTTCTCTGCCAAAAGCCTTCCCGGAAAAATACCAAAGTACAAATAAATAAACCATTTACAAGACACGCACACGCTTTCCTGGTCGGGGCCTGGCCCGCTAGGCTAAGGGTTGCCAACCTCCAGGCGGTGACTGGAGATCTCCTCTGATTACGACTGACCTCCAGACGACAGAGATCAGCTCCCCTGGAGAAGGTGGTTGCCTGATCCAGGATGGGAAACTCCTGAAGATCCGGGGGGTTTGAGGCTAGGGAGGACAGGGACCCGAGTGGGGTAGAATGCCAGGGAATCCACCCTCCGTTTCCTCCAGGGGAGCTGATCCCTGTAGCCTGGAGATGAGCTGTGATTCCGGGGGGATCCCCAGGTCCCGCCTGGAGGCTGGCATCCCAAATAGCAGCCTCTCCGTCTAAACTGAAGGCCTTCTGCAAAAAGCAGGCCCTAAAGTAGGCGCTGAAAGAGACCTGGAGGGTCTCCCCCCCCCCGCCCCGCTCCCGGTCAGCCAAACTTCAGTTAAGACCGGCTCCCTTGTTTCAATCTCAAGTTCCAGGTCAGATAATACGGACAGAAACCATCCTTCATGCGCTCAGGGACAAGACCAGGACGAGATTGAAGGGGGAGGAGGAGGAGAAGAGATTGGATTTATACCCCGCCCTTCACTCGGGAGTCTCAGAGCGACTATCAAAATCCTTTCCCTTCCCTTCCCCACAACAGACACCCTGTGAGGTAGGCGGGGCTGAGAGAGCTCTTTCCAGACCTGCCCTTGAGAGAACAGCTCTGAGAGAACTATGGCTTTCCCAAGGTCATCCAGCAGCTGCATGTGGAGGAGTGGGGAATCAAACCCGGTTTTCCCGGATTAGAGCCACTACCCCAAACTAGCACCTTGCATGGGGCCTGGGACACAAATCAGAAGCCACGAAGGATGGCCCGGCACTGGCTGGATATGGGCACAGCGGCATGGCCCAGTTAGAGGACTCTAGCGGCTACAGTTTTTATACGCTTTGTGACCTCTGACCCGTCTTCAAAGTTGGCCCCACACAGAGCGCGGTGCAGAAGCCAAGGCGTGGCATGGGTACCTGTGCCAAGGCCAGCTTTCTCCAGGAATGGGCACAGCTGGCAAACAAGCCTGAGTTCCAGGCAACATCTGGCATTTACCTCTGGACAGACAAACGTGGGGTCCAGAAGTACAATCTCCCAGGGAGACCACAACATTATGCAGAACCAGCCGAATGCTACTTCTTGGATCACTTTTGTCCCCACCCAGACCAAGTCCAGTTTGGTGTAGCGGTTAGGAGCACAGACTCTAACCTGGGAGAACTGGGTTTGATTCCCCACTCCTCCACATGCAGCTGCTGGCATGACCCAGGAGAAGGAGGCAAGCCCCTTTGGGTCTCCAGTGGGGAGACAGGTGGGATGTAAATTAAGTATCCTTTTCTCATCCAGTCGAGCGATAGACAACCCACTGTCCTTTAACAGTAGGCAGGATCCAGTTTGGTGTCGTGGTTAAGTGCGCGGACTCTAATCTGGGAGAACCGGGTTTGATCCCCCACTGTGTCACATGCAGCTGCTGGTGTGCCCTTGGGTCAGTCACAAGTTCTCTCAGAGCTGTTCTCTCAAGGTCAGCCCTTAAAAGAGCTCTCTCGGCCCCACCGACCTCCCAGGGTGTCTGTTGTGGGGAGGGGAAGGGAAAGGAGGTTGTAAGCCGCTCTGAGACTCCTTCGGGTAGCGAAGGGTGGGGTATAAATCCAATCTCCTCCTCCTTCTCCTCCTCCCTGGGGTTTAGAGAGGGGAGGGACC